AAAAAAAAAAAAAAAAAAAAAAAAAAGGAAAAACACTTTTTAGAAACTAAAAGAAACAAACAGTTTGGCATAGAGGTCGTAAAATGGTAACAACAACAGCAACAACAATACATCAAATTGGTCAATTAACTACTACTATGCTACTGGTGGTCATTTGTTATACAAACGGCTCAGTGCTGACGGTCATCGCCCAAATTGGGCAATCGCTGTCGATTATCGCACTTTTTCCACTCTCTTTATTCATTGACATTTTCAGTTCTCGACTTCCTTCCAACAATTTGCAGTTTGTCTCATTCAGCTATTTCTCCTTCCCTTATCAACATTGTGCACTTCAATTTTTCTCCTCAAATAAATTTTTTAACTAAAAAAAAAGAAGTACAAAGATTGTCATGAAATAAAATAGAAAACCTGTTTCTTATCCAAAAAAAGAGAGAAAAACCCATCTTCTTCTTAAGTTAAGCAACAAACAGCATTAGTTTTTCAGTTAATTTGTACTCAAATCATGCGGAAGTTGGTTTGGTACAAATAGATAAAAAGAACAAAGAAAAAAAAAGAGTTAACCAAAAATAGCAGAAACAGCAAACGATAACAAATTTGATTAAAATAAAGCATACTGCCAGCTGCTGTGAACATTAAAAACATTTTCAGTGCTTTATCTGAAAACAAAGATTTTCCAGATTGTCGTAGACGACAATCAGTGTCTGCTCCGGAAAATAACCACAAATAAATTTATTCAATTCGATTACTCCTCAATATTAACCACCCTCCTAACTGTTATAAAAATTAAATAAATCATCATAAATATCTCATCTTAATCAATCGTTTCTAAATTTGCAGTAACTTTCAAATATATCCGTTTCAATTAACCACTAATTCAGTTAACTTTGGCACATAATAATAAAACAAATTTTTAAATTGTGCTTTATTTTTAATGCTCTACATGCAAATGTTCTGCTGGAAAATTTTAAAAAACTTTTTATTCTTGAAAGACCACCCTCCTAACTGTTAAACAAAATTTCTTTAAGCCACAGATGAACTTACCCATCACCATTCAAATCAGTAACTGCAACAGCGGTACCAAGCTGCTGACCCACTTGACATACTTTATCCGTCAAATTTGCTATCGATTCCAATTTATGACTTAAAACACGAACCTAAAATGTAGACCAAT